GGCGCCGCCCTCGCCCTACTAAGCGCCTACGACATAGCCGAGATGGGACTAAACATCGTAGACGATGGGCGCCACGAGACCACCGAGAAAATCCCGGTCAGCGTCATCTCGTTCGCGGGCCCGCGCGTCGGGAACTTGAAATTCAAGGAAAGATGCGACGAGCTAGGGGTCAAGGTGTTGCGGGTGATAAACGTGCACGACAAGGTCCCAACCGTGCCGGGCATCATCACGAACGAGAAATTCCTATACCAAAAGTACATCGAGGAGAAAATGGGCTTCCCGTGGAGTTACGCGCACGTCGGGGTGGAGCTGGCGTTGGACCACGCGCGGTCACCGTATTTGAAGAGCACGGGGGATATTAGAAATTCCCATAATCTGGAGGCCCATCTGCACTTGGTGGACGGGTATCACGGGCCGGACAAGGGCTTTGTTCAGGCTTCGGGGAGGGACGTGGCCCTGGTGAACAAGAGTTGCGATTTTTTGAAGGCGGAGTGTGGCGTACCGCCAAACTGGTGGCAGGACGAGCACAAGGGGATGGTGAGGGGAAGGGACGGGCGGTGGGTGGTGCCCGAGCGGGAGCGGATCGAGGCCCACCCGCCGGACACGGCCCACCTCTTTGAGCAGGTGGTCAAGTATGCCAGAGCTAAGCTGGATTTAATTAAACAATAATTATTATGAATTTATTATTTTTAATTTGAATTTATTATTTTGGGAAGTAGACAGAGGAAGTGGAATAGAGAACATTAATGTGTGTGAGTTAAATTTGATTAGATGGGGGTGATGATAGTGGGGGCAATACGCATTCCACTTTGATTTAATGTGGGTGTTTCATGTGGTTTGTTTTCCGTCAATTTATAGAAAATATTGGTTTGTTTTGGAATTTGGTTTTCGATGTGAGTTGTCTGCTGGGGGGGTTGAGTTCTAAAACTTTGAGTTTGTTTATGTGATGTAAATGTATAACAGGATACTAAGCTCATCAAATTCAAATTGTATACTCAGAGCCTCTCCAGCGCTGCAACACTCTAGCGTAAAACG